CGCCTCTATTACCTGCAGATGACGACCTTTGGGTTTTCCTAACACCCTAACACCATAACCGCTCAACCCTTTCGCTTTCGTAAAAGTTTTTCGGCTGTTCCTTCTATCTGTCCAACCTGCACCGTTTTATAAAATTTGCTAAAAAGTCATTTGCTGTACTCGCTATTCGCGGAAATTTTTTATTCATGCCTTGCCATCTCTATTCAGAAGACCTTGAGTGCCTGCATGTGTTTGCTTTTTATGAGCATCGTGCGTACTTTCTACCTTTGTAGCACTTGGTCAGGTCAGCGCTGTGGCCGGCAACTGCTGTTTCAATTCTTGTGGTGGATTTAGCGCTAATCCTTTCGGATTAACAATCTTACAATCCACGACGACATTTCGTTTCATTAAGCATTGGGAGTAGCGCAGCTACTTGAATGAAAGCCTTCCGAATTTTCCTCACAAATTTTGCCGGCATGATGTTTCCTGAGGCCCCATTAATAAGTCCGCAATCTAAATTAAGAACAGATCCAGAACTCAATGATAAGTTATTACAGTTTATCAATTTACAAATAAATTGTTATTAAAATAAGTGTAACAAGTCATATAATTAAATTTTAAATAGTGAGAGGAATATTGATTGAAGGAGATGGACGGATAGATAGACTGTCTCCTCATGCTGGTTCCCTCTGGCTGTTACTTTTCAGTGAAGGGTATCTACGAAATTTGTTATAATCTGCAATTTATAGAGTCCACAACGGAACTTAATGAAATTTTCAGTCGATCTATATTCTGATCATTAAGGGTAGAATCCACAATCATGGACGTATGTTTTGATCTTTGTTTTTTCAACCAACTCATCAAACTTTCGTTCGTCCCTCTAATGAAATTTTTAGATAATTATATCGCATTAAGTTTTGTTTTGTGATGCAGCAGCTTCTTTGTAGCACGTTGAATATTCATGAGTTCCCACGTTCTGCTCACCGATCAAAACAAAATGTTCAAAACTTATATGTCATGTCATCTGGTTCAGTAGAGCATCATCATCAACATCAACATCAAGCAGGGTCTGAAACATAGCATCACATTGCACGCAAGCGAATTCCCATGCAGGACACCTGAACTGAACTGAACAGAACTGAATATAACAGAACAGAACTGGGAACAATTGACACTGCGAGGGTGGTGATCGTCCAACCTACAGAGCTAACGAGCCAACTAGCCAACATAGTTGGAACAACCCTCGGCAATCAACGGCAACCCCTGCCTTGAGGGGGGTTGCTATTCTAATTAGACACTCGCGACCCTTGTGCTAGTCGTTCTGTGAATATAATATCATGTCAAGCAGTTTATTGATCAGGTTACGCATCCGCAATACGAATCGAAATATAATTGCTCTTTTGAAGTGTCTGTTTTGCATTCGAAATAGGAGATGCGTTCCCACGTGGCTGCTCACAGCACCTCACCATGCCTCGGATCTGTGCGGCAGTGTTAGGCGTTTCGTTCGTAATCGCACCAGACTTACCGGATCTTGCTTAACATTATTATTTTTCATTTGAAATCCTTAATACAGATCCTCGGGCACGTAGATCCCTTTGTCGTTTTTGCCTCTGCGAAAAGCTTGCTTAAATTTATTCGCCCTTGTCTGATCTGAGCATAGTGCTCGTCGCTTGCCTTTCTCAGTCCGATCTCTAATCTGCTTAAGCGGCACGCGATTAGGTCAGCTGAATGCCAAGGTGGCGGGTTAGCTAAGCACTCGGCGATTAAAACGATGCCACTTGAATCTAATTTGAGCTGCGCCTGCGCTTTTGAAAGGCACTGTTGGTAAGCTGTTGCCATATAACTAGAGTAGAGCAGAGTTGCGAAGAAATTTGAGTATCATACAGGTGCTGAGAGATACGCGAGAATAACAGAGGCAGCGAGAGAGAGAGAGAGAGAGGAGATTGATATATTTGAATAAAAATTATAAATATCCGTCTATTAAAAGTATGAGACTCATTTCCGTGTAGTATTAATGCCTTCTCAATGACATGGAGAAAGTCTTCTTTTCTGCCAAAACTATCGAAAAATTTATAAAAAGTGTCGTCTATTGATCAGCTCAGATACGTTTGGCATATTCTCCAAATCGTTCTTTTAACACGAAATAATGTTTGTTTAAATTCATTTTTATTTCGTTCTCCTCATCAAAATTTTGCTTATCTTTGTCTAGAAAAAAATAAAATAAAATAAAATAAGGGTAAAAGAGGTTGAAAAAACGAACGCTCGCTAAAAATGTGTGTTTCTTAAGCTATTTTTGATTTATTTATTTAATTTAATATTTTTTGTTGCTAGGGAAGGCCTTGATCTTGGTTTCTATAATAGCTTCTCAGCTCTTTCAAAGGCTATATTCAAATGTAAAACCAGCCAATTTAGTAATAAGGCAGAACCTTTTTCATTCCCTGTACTGAAAGGAATGTACGCAACAGACAGAAGAAGGAGTGATACACCCTATGATCTTATGATCAGCTTGATGAGAGGAACTGATATACTTATGAACACTTTTCTATCTTTTCGCTAAGGTATTTAAAGCTGTACGAGCTAGGAATAATTATATTGAGAAGTAGTATCCTAATTCCAAATGCATGCAAAGTTTGTTACACATCTACACGACATTCTGTAGGAACGTAATTAATTTTGATACGGTTAACTTTAAAATTAGTATTTTAATATTCAATTATAGATAAGTATATTCTTCTTCTCACCCAGAGCTGGAAATGCCTGAGAATCTCGATGATCTAGCTAGCTCGCTCCTATAGCTTCTCTGCTTTGTCCTTCACTTGATGTCCCTATGATTTTTAATTTGTCAATTACATCACTCTTAAAACAATTATAGAAATACATATACACATAGAAAGAATGTAATTTGAAATGCACCGAGCAGCTTATATGGAATTTACGAGTAGATTGTGAATATAATGTTATAATTAATGTTGGGAGTGGGTGCAACTACGTCTACGTATTTGAAATAATGACATATCCAAATACACGAATCCATAAAATACACCAATACACAAATATATTAAGACTTCAATTAAGAAAAAGTTGTTCTTTTTATCTGCTTTGGAAGTAGTTGAAAAATCTCCCCATTAGATCAATGATTATGCTAAAAAGCATTATTAACTAATTATATAAAGACCACGAGCTTGAACATCAAACTACCTATAGTAATATGTATTGAAAATTTGCGAATTTGGAAATACCTCGATGAATGTGAAATATGTATATTAATAATAATTTGTTCACAAATGCACTGCTTTTGGTTTGTCTCTTATCCCAGATATGAGAAAATGTCTATCGATTAGAAATATTTCTTCTATTATAGCGAAATCTTCTATTTCATATTTTATTTATAAGAGTAGCTTTGAACACTTAGACAAAGAAAAGTTTTTAAATATTTTATATAAATATATAGAAAAGCTTGAATTTTGTGGATTTTAACCATTGGTATAAAACGACATGGTACGACAAGGGTGTAGCGTTATATTTGATAAACATATGTGATATATAAGATTTTATAATTTGTTATAAGTATGATTATGTCGTAAAATCCGCTGCTTTAAAAGATATGATAGGAATATGAAAAACATTTTGTCGACGTTCGAAACAGTGCAAAAAGATGAACAACCTTAAAACTCCGGGAATTCTGTTACTATGATTCTGGCAGTCGAATGGTATATATAATAATTTATATTAAGGATATTCTTCTACCGTTGGCTTTATTGAGAATAACTAAACTTTGTAAAAATTCTTAAAATAAACAGTCATTTTGAAGATATTAAAGATATGTGCTGCAATTGTTGGAATTTAAAAAATGGTTCTTAGCAAATTTAGAGAATTTCCTAATCGCGATATAACTCAAAGATATTAATGAGACATCCAGATATTTTCTTTAAAGGATGGCGTTATCTCTGCCATTATCAAATGTGATGCTGAACAATTCGGACAAACGGATTCAAAAAAAAAAATTATATTTTTCCTCGTATTGTGTCATTAAATGTTTAATTATTCGAAATGTGAATGGGCAACAATGGGTGTCGAGTGCAACAATCAATAAAAACGTCGGCCAAAGCAGCGGCGGCGGTGGCGGCGGCCAACTCTAACAACCCTTGCTCAATTGCACGATGACGGGCAAGGACAGGGACAGGGCCAGGGACAGGGGCAGGGGCAGACAAAGCAACGTACCCACAGGTACTTCACACAAATCACAAAGCGGCAATAATGGCAGCGCCATAAACCGACAACCATGCCGTGCTCAAAAAATTATAAAGATGCGCCTGGTTTCATTAACAACTGTCACATGAAGTTGCGGAGAAAGAGAGCGAGAGAGGGAGAGAGCGCGAAAAAGAGCAGAAGAGCGCAGGTATGCCTGAGCGGCGGTCAACGGAAAAAGGCCATAAAACCCAACAATGCTGAAAATGATGAGCATGATGAGAATGAGCGACGGCTGCTGTGTGTGTGTGTGTGTGAGTGTGTGTGCTCAATGAATTTTCGCAATGGCAGCCCAACTAGCAGTCTGCCTGCGGATCAAAGGTTGCGAGAGCGCTTGCGTTAGAGGCTGTGCGTGCGAGGGAGTGCGCGATAGCTGGCCAACTCTGTCAGGCGTGCGTGCAATCGACCAATAAACGAGTGCGCTGCCTACCTAAGGGTGATCGACTGCTTGATGAATGGTACATTGCACAGGATTTGGCTGGCCAGGACTATTAAAACAGGAGCAGGGTGGTGAGCACAGTACACAAGCATTCGTGATCTCAACGAGTAAACTACAACGGTGGCAGCAAAGCCGAAAACGCAGCAAACAGCTCGCCGACATTCAAGAACCGTGGTCCTTGTGCTTCTAATACGAATCGAAAAATTTGAAAAGTGACGAATTTTGTAGCAAAGTACAACTATTTTGCTTAGTGCAAGAAGTCAGAAGTGTAGTTAATAATTCTCATCTCGCAAGTGTTTTAAATAAAATCGCCAAAATTACGCCCCACATCGGCATGCAAACTTCGGAGGGTTCACCAGATATGATGGATCAGAAATATAACTCCGTGAGGCTGTCGCCAGCAGCATCGAGTAAGTATTACAGATATTTTAAGCATATTCAAACCCAGCTATCTGTTTTTACTTTTAAAACATAACACTAACCAATGCCTTTTCCTTTATTGCTTCTTTTAGGTCGCATACTCTACCATGTGCCGTGCAAGGTCTGTCGGGACCACAGCTCTGGCAAACATTACGGCATCTATGCCTGTGATGGCTGTGCGGGCTTCTTCAAGCGCAGCATACGCCGTTCCCGCCAGTATGTGTGCAAGTCCCAGAAGCAAGGACTCTGTGTTGTGGATAAGACGCACCGGAATCAGTGCCGCGCTTGCCGTTTGCGCAAATGCTTCGAGGTGGGCATGAACAAGGATGCCGTGCAACATGAGCGGGGGCCACGCAACTCGACATTACGTCGTCACATGGCCATGTATAAGGATGCTATGTTAGGGGCTGGGGATATGCCACAGATTCCGCCGGAAATCTTGATGAATACGGCGGCTCTGACGGGCTTTCCTGGTCTGCCCATGCCTATACCACAGCATCCGCATTCGCATCCTGGCTTGAATGCCGCCTTTCAGCCACCGGCAGTATTGGACTTATCTGTGCCAAGGGTGCCGCATCATCCCGTGCATCAGGGCCATCATGGCTTCTTCTCGCCCACGGCAGCTTACATGAATGCGCTGGCCACGCGTGCCTTGCCTCCCACACCGCCGCTGATGGCTGCCGAGCACATTAAGGAGACGGCCGCTGAGCATCTGTTTAAGAACGTCAACTGGATTAAGAGTGTGCGCGCCTTTACGGAACTGCCCATGCCGGATCAGCTGCAACTGCTGGAGGACTCCTGGAAGGAGTTCTTTATACTAGCCATGGCTCAGTATCTGATGCCCATGAACTTCGCTCAACTGCTCTTTGTCTATGAGTCGGAGAACGCCAATCGCGAGATCGTGAACATTGTTTCCAGGGAGGTGCACGCATTCCAGGATGTGCTTAATCAGCTGTGCCACATGAACATTGATAGCACAGAGTACGAGTGCCTGCGCGCCATTTCCCTCTTCCGCAAATCGCCGCCGGCTGCTAGCTCCACAGAAGATCTGGCCAATAGCTCCATACTGACGGGCAGCGGAAGTCCCAACTCCAGTGCTTCCGCTGAGTCGCGTGGTCTCCTCGAGTCCAGCAAAGTGGCAGCCATGCACAATGATGCACGCAATGCTCTCCACAATTACATCTCTCGCACCCATCCGAATCAGCCGCTACGCTTCCAGACCCTCCTCGGCGTCGTCTCTCAAATGCACAAGGTCTCCAGCTTCACAATCGAGGAGCTCTTCTTCCGCAAGACCATCGGCGACATCACCATTGTACGTCTGATATCCGATATGTACAGTCAGCGTAAGATCTGAGGAGTTCAAGGAGCGACCTCCAGTTGCCGACGGCAAATTCGTGCACTTGAAGTGCCTTCGTAGTGCTGGAAACTGTGATAAGTTTGTTGTGCGTGTGTGCGTATGAACAAAGTGTGCTCGGAAGAACACAGAACTTACAAACAAATTGGGACAATAATCAACAAACCATTGTTGCTGCAAACCTTTAAATAATCTCTTGGAGTTGCGCCTTGAACATGTTTTCGAAATCTACACACGATGTGATTCAAAAATTGCATTCCACAAAGTTTGAACTTTTTGTTATTAATTAGCTTTAGATGCCGCAGTTAATACATAAGTAACGTGTTAGTTGTAAGCTCATATAAATGAATTTAGCATAAAACTTTAAAGTTTATAAAGAAATACAATATAGAGAGCCAAGTTTATGAAACGAAAATAATTTGTGTATTGCATTTGAAATGAAAAACGCTGCCACTGGGGGTAATCGTTAAAAAAGTAGTACTAAACGTGGGGTTTCAAATGAAGCGAGATATGCTTGTATATTTCACATAATACTTAGAGTCCGCTTACGAATATTAAAACGTTTCTTAAACGATCTCGAAGAAAAGGATACTGATAGTGCCGCTGATATCTGAATGTATGTGGAAGAGTCTGTGTGGCGTCTTTTGTATAGCCGACCCATGCTTCTTTTTCAAAACAGTCATAGCATATGCGACAGTATATGTATTTTCCAAAAAAAGGATTAAAGTTATTACTCTTTAAAATGTTTGAATTTTGTAACTTTTGTTATTAGCGGAGTGCTTTTATTTAAAACTGTCCAGTTTTCCCTATTATAGGCGGAAGGAACATCCATTGTTTATCAATACGATCAAGGACTATTTATCAACAGGGTCAGGTTATTTATCAAAAGCTCTCCAATTTATAACACTTTATAGTGTGTTTCAGTGTTTATCTTGTATACCTTTGCCTTTAAATCTTTTTATATCCTGTATCCAAAGGGTGAAAGGGTATATTAGTTTTGTGCGAGTGTACATGTAACACACAGAAGGAGGCGTGGCAGACCCCACAAAGTATATATATTCTTGATCAGGGTGACAAGCCGAGTCGATTTAGCCATGTCCATCTGTCCGTCCGTCCGTCCGTCTGTATGAGCGCAAGGATCTTAGAAGGTACAAGAGCTAGAATTACCAAACTTGGTATCCAGGTTCCCCTAAGCCCTAGGCAGGTCAAGTTTATTCAATTCGTGTTTTTATACCCTGTACCCGTAGGGTAAAAAGGGTATATTAGGTTTGTGCAAAGTATGTAACATACAGAAGGAAGCATCTCCGACCCCATAAAGTATATATATTCTTGATCAGCATGACGAGAGAAATCGATCTAGACATGTCCGTCCGTCTGTCCGTCCGTCTGTCCGTCTGGATGAACGCAAGGATCTCAGAAACTATAAAAGCTAGAATAACCAAAGTTGGCATCCAGATTCTCCTAGGCCCGAGTAAGGACGAGTTTATTTTATTTTTTTGGAATTTTCCCCCCCTTCCCCCGCTACAGAATTTCGTCAATAGCGTCCACATTTCAATTGCTACCTAAACCAAACTTTGCACACATAATTTATAAATAATTATCTACTGTTGTTTAAAATTTTATTCAATTTGGTCAATTCTAAGAAAAGTTATTAGCGAAACAAATTCTCGCCAGTACAACCCCCACAAACTGCAGCAACAAGTTCGCTCTTCTTCTTCCTCTTCTTGCTGCTGCTTTGGGCGCATATAACTCAGTGACGGAAGTTTACCTGGGTACAGGGTATTACACTGTCGGGCTTGCTCGACTGTAGCGTTCTCTCTTGTTTTTTATAACTTCCGTAATTCTTGGAATTTTAAAATCAGTTTTAGTAGTTACGTCCAGTTAGTGCTTATCTGTCCGTATGCCCGTATGCGTATTCATCATGATAGGTCAATTCTGAAGAAAGTTATAGCCATAAATAAAATCGCTGCCCATGCTCTGCTTGGAGCGCTGCCCGCAGCTGGTATTGTTGTTGCTTATATATACACGTATATAAACAAGCATAGACAAGTGATGTAAATGTAAAACTGTACATAAAGATGTCTTCTATGCATCTATTAAATAAATGTTCTTAATTAATTTAATAAATTAATTAAATATTTTTTAAATAATTTAATTTTTTTAACATTTTTTTAATTTTTTTTTTTTTTTTTTTTTTTGAGATACAGGCTATTTTACTGTCGGGCTTGCTCGACTGTAGCGTTCTATTTTGTTGTATCTGCTGTCTTCTACAGACACAAATGGACAGCTAACGGCTGGCTGCTACATATTTTAATATGTATATTTAAAGAAGACAAATATTTTTTCCATTGCGACAGTTTGAAAATTGCAGACTATATACATATATTTGCTTACAAAATCTGGAAGTTTAAGTTCGTTTACAGGCGCAGTTATTGGTAAGTTTTTGATAGAAAAAGGATATGTTTACAAGTTTCAGATCATTTCAGATAATTTGATAAATGATTAGAAACATTATTTAAGATTATTTATTTCTAACATTGTAGTTAAATTATTTTGGGTCTAAAGACAAATGTTTTAAAAAAAAAAACAAGTTAAAGGTAGAGGAACAACTAACTATTTAGATTTTTTATTTTTGGTAATGCAAAATATAACAGATTTCAAATATTTGTCATATCACTATTTAAAATTTCATTCTATATGTAACATATAGCACTGTTTATGAAGATGCCTGCCATCGAAACGGCATACTCGTAGGTACCAACCACATTGTCCAAACATCTACATACTAATCACAAATTAATTATGTAAATACATTAACAAAAGACATTGCGGGCTGGAAATGAAATCAAAATGAAAATTAGCATAGTTTTTCCACATGAGCAGACCAAAGTCGGGATTAATTTTTGAAATGGCAGCCATGCCGCCTAGCAGTTGGCCAAACAATAGAGTCACAAAACTGCCCCAGTGAAGACAGATACTCGTCAGCTCAGACTGAGACTCCCTTCCCTTCACTCTTTTCGCCCCAGACACACAGGGACAACAGAATTCAAAAAGTTAAAAAGCAAAAATTCACTTTTGTGACTTTACGAAGCGCTCGGTGTTGGCAAGTTGGATCGAGTAGATCGAGTTCTTTCTATTCGGTTGCGGACAATAATGGCAGCAACAAATCCTTTCCACAAAGGCAGCACAGCCCAAACGCATCGCGTAGAACAATATTAAATGGGACTAAGTAAGGCAAAATGAATTTTCGTTGGCAAGGCTGAACAAACAACGAACAGTTGCAAATATTATACAGACGTATACGAGTAGATGTAGTAGTCGATGGGTTCGAGACAGCAAATTGTTGAAATTGCGTTGGCCAAAGTAAATAGACGCACTCTTCATACATTCCACTGACACACATCCCAACAGAGCCAACATCGTTATTATCTTCATCATCGTGGTGCCAAAAACCTACCCTAACCCAGAGTTTTTGGGCCTGCGGGGATTTGGAATTAAATATGCTTCGTTGGTGCTGCCATTGCCATTTCGACTTTGGCAAGGTCCGTGTGCATTCTGCCTTCTGCCCATGATGCTGTCGAACCCGGCAAATGATTTTGTTGTTGTTAGTATTGTTGTTGTCTCTGCGCACAAAGCGTTGCTCGCCGCTGGGTTGAGCCCTTTTAAGTCCTAATGGCCCTTTATTATCTGCCTTTAGACTTTTAATAGACTCAGAGACGCTGTCTATGTATATATGTATGTGTGTGTATGTGTGTACGTGTGTCATGTATTCGTGTGTGTGTGTGTGTGTTCCGCAACATGTACATACTCGGGCGAAAATTGTGTGGCCATGCTTCTATATAGCCATCGCTTTGTTGCTCTAATCCTCATCATTCTGTCATCAGTGACGTTTTTCTGCACATTGTTGGCTTTGCATTGTTTAGGTCTTAATTTGTAGTTCTGCCAGCTATTTGTCCAATGTGTTTTGCGTTTTCGGCATTGCAAATTTTTTTTTCACTTTTTGATTTTTATAATAGCCCAAAATATAATACCAAAAACTAGGCCGAATTATTTGTATAAGTCAGCAATAATTCAGCCTCTAAAGACTTGGTAAGAAAAATAAAAAATAATTTTAAACGTGTCATAAACTTACTGTCATATTTATTGAATATATTTATTTATTCCTTTAAAAATGTTATTTGCCGGATTTTCGAACATTGCCTCCAAACAAAGCTTACATTTAATTAAGAATTGCTATTTTCAGCCATTAAAGAGGCGATATATATTAAAAATGAAACTTAAATGTGCCTAGTTGTTGAAATTTAACTGTTAACAAATTGGTCTAAGAAATAGGGATTGGTTCAGTATAGGGACATAACAATGGATTCTAAAAACTCAGCTTTGAATTATGAAAAATATACACTTGATAGTTTTCTAAAATAGTAAATTAAGTGCCATAATTAAGTAAAAAAAGTTTTTATTTTATTTATTTATTTATTTATTAATACTTAAAAAGCATATTTTCACTAAAAACCATCAGCAAATATATGGCCCGTTTCAAAGAAATTATTACTGTGTTTGAAAAAGAAACTTTGGAGTGCAAGCAGGTTAGAAGCATTATTATATGTGATTTAATGTGATTTAAGCATTCCAACTATCATAATGAAGGCATATTTATACAGTTATATAGAAAATTATTATAATGTTTCAAAACAAATAACATGATATATTAAATAAAGTACATCTTGTTTTGATATAATAGTTGTTGTTAAATAGTTAATAATATTATTTTTATAAAATAGTTTGATAATGATGGTCCAAAAATTGTTTAATTAACTTTAGTAAGATAAAAGTCACCAAAATATTTAATGTTACTATAGTTTGCTTAAATTAAAATAATATGCATTAATTAAATACATAATTGAATTAAAAAATGTTGAATTCCTTTAATAAATATGTATTTTATACAAATTGCAAAAAGACAATATTTTCTAATAATTTTTGTAAATGTTGACACCACT